CACCTAGTTCTGTCATTCTATGAATAGTTGTTCGTAATGGCGAAAAAATGTTCCGCTATAGTATTAACGAGCTCTTAGGTGTACACCATCGAAGCGCCCCATCTCGACGCCTCTGCTGAACGGGCGCTGTGTGAGTTTCCACCACAAATAAGCTTTGGAGTTTCAGCTGTTCTTTTTGACACCTGTGGGCGTTTCAGGATGCATTTAGCGCTTCTGGTTGCGGTGCTCGCCGTGGCGAGTATCTTGACCAATGGTCAACAACACACGGAAGATCGTTGTAAGGATCGCTCGTGTTATCCGATCACGGGAAATCTTCTGATCGGACGAAAACATCGCCTCAAATCCTCGTCCACCTGTGGGACGAGGGGCAGAGAACGGTGAGAGCCGCTTTTGATCAATTCCGAACCGTTTGAACATCCATTCTTCACTCATTATTTGCTCTGAGAACTCCATAAACCTCATTGAATCGACTGCATAGCCAATTTCAAACGGGTTCCAAATGATGCAAAAAGGTAAGGAAGAGACCAGAGACACAGAGGAACTCCTCCTGTATGTCTCTGTGACAGAGGGGTTATTTCTCGTAATTACTCCATGGGTGGTTACCGTTTCCCAGAGGTGGGTTTCGTTTCAATGTGCACTTTACAAGCTGGCAGTATCATGGATGCATAGGAAGCGTTGGGAAAGGGCAGCAATGTTTTTCGCAACTTCTTATGCTTTTTAATGTAATATTCAAGCTCGGGCGGATTTGACCCCTAGAAGTGCTACGTGTGTTGTACCACTTACATGTAGTATTGTATGGGGGCCAAATCCTGGATCGAATCTCACGCAGGTCAAGCAAGCCTTTCATCCATTGGTGGTGGTTAATTGGTATCTGAATGAAAATCTGGGTGCATAATATTCCTAAATTATGCAGCGACTGGCCCGGAAAGTCATTGTATCGCTTCAAGCGTCATTTCGAGTAGAAGTAAAATGCGCGGCGTATCCCAAAGTAGGTGGTCAGAAGCGGCTACTTTGTCCTCTATTCGAGCTCAAAATGGGGACGTCTTCACCCTTCAACAGATATTTTACTTAGGAAAATCTCTTACTTATTAGCTATGGAAGTCGTTTAGTTAAGTGGACTTAGCTTTAAAAAACGAACCCATCACACACTATTACAGCATCTCTGCTTTCTTTCCCTCCTTCGAAAGGCTTAGTCCCAGCAATGTGCTTTTCTGTCTGGACTCGCACACGTTGGTTGACCGCTGCCCCGTAACCAGAAAAGTCGCAGTATTCTCATCCGGAAAAAATGGACTGCTTACCCACCCTCCCCCCCCCCATTTCGAATTTTCCAGGCTAAGGCTTGGGCAAAGAAAGAACTCGAGTGTGGTTCACTAGGATAGAAAGCGCAAAACATTTTTTGCTATAGAGACTCCAGGTCCACTCATGGTCAGCGGTGGACCTGACGCTCCTCGCAGCAAGAAACGTTTCACAAGAAAGCGAACCATCTCGGAGTTCCTAGGGTGAGGTCCTAGTGAACCACACCCAGGAACTCCGAGGTGGATAAGCATATTATTTGGAGTGAGCGAAGTAATATCGAAAATATCGAAAATCGACGTACCCCCCCTCCCACTCGACTCACATGGTACCCTTTCCTACATTTTAATGGGATGGTCCTCCAGATAAATTTACTGAATTGGCATACATCCTAAGAAAATATCAAGATAAAGATCGCGTTTATTTTGAAGTATTCGCGCAGATGTCCGTCGCTGCGGTGTAAACACCATATGTGCCGCGTTTTTCACTGAGCTCTTTTCAGATTCTGCATTGTTTCTCACTTGGAAGAGCAAACGAAGTGTTTCTACTGTGATTCACGTACTGAATGGAGACCGTACAGGGAGCCGTACAGATTGAGTCACAGGTACTGTTGATGTTCTTCTGTAAGGTGTCGTAAAAAGATGGTAAAGATGCTCTTACGGAGCTGTGTCAGCAGAAAGCTTGGCCTCTTTTGTTGTTGGAGGTAATTTGCATGTGAGTTTCGCTTTTTGTGGTGGATGTCAAGGATCGTGATAAGTTTATGTTAGTAGTCCATATGGCGAGCAGATGGAGACTGTGTAATTCACGCTTTCGCGCCTTTGTGGACATGGCGCTAAAGGCTACTGGCTTAAAGCTTCTTTCTGTTACATATTCCACCTCTACAAAGTTTCCTTACCATTATTTGGTGATGAAGCGTGAAATATTTTCTTATAACGGTATTGCGTGTTCTCGCTTCATGATATGAACTGCTTCAGAATCGAAAATGTCGTGTCCGATGGCTACGAAGACAAAAATCGGAACTGGTGGCAATCAGAAAACGGAATACAGAACGTCACGGTGCAACTTGACCTCGAGGCTGAGTTCCACTTCACCCATCTCATAATGACGTTCAAATCGTTCCGACCCGCTGCGATGATTATTGAAAGATCTGCTGACTTTGGAAAAACCTGGTAATAGTTGCGTCCTCTTCTTCTCCTTTCCACCACCGTTGAACTGAAATGTTGCATTTAAAGGCAGGTATATCGATACTTTGCATACGACTGTGCAGGAACATTCCCTGGAATTCCTGAAGGGCCACCGAAAAAGCATACAGATGTTATTTGTACTCGAGCTTATTCCGATGTTGCTCCTTCAACTGGAGGAGAGGTGAGTGAGCATCTAGGTGATATTTCTACTAGGCTACTTTGGGCTATTCTTGACCCATTATTGATTTTCAGTTGGTCTACAAAGTTATTTCTCCCTCATATCGCAACAGAAAACCCTTATGCTGATGAAATCGCTAATCTGCTTAAAATAACTAACCTTCGATTCAATTTCACGAAGTTACATACACTTGGAGACGATCTTTTGGATTACAGGTGGGTTATTTCTTGTTGGTGCCAGTTGCATATTTTTCACAAATTCGCCATTCAGGCCAGAAATTGAGGAAAAATACTATTACGCTATTTACGAAATTGTGGTCCGCGGATCCTGTTCGTGCTATGGGCATGCTTCGCGTTGTATTCCCATCGAGAACAACAACGATCCAGCTTTGTCTCGAGCTGATATTGTGAGTGTTTTTTGCGTCACCCAAAAATAGGAGAACGTTTGGAACAAGTTGGTGTTGGAAGGACTTGTTTTTCTTACAAGTTTTTTGATCAAGAGTTCGAGCAAAATTAAAAACTTCAGGTACACGGTCGTTGTGAGTGCATGCATAATACGGAAGGTCTCAATTGTGAAAAGTGTCGCGACTTTTACAATGACCTACCATGGCGGCCTGCTATTGGAGAAGATACAAATGAGTGCAGAAGGTGTGAATGCAATGGGCATGCTGCCCGGTGCCATTTTGATCGAGCAGTATATCAGGCTAGCGGTGAGTTCTGTGCATTTCTCTCAGTGTCCTAGACCCCGTTTCTGTAATCTTTCTCCTACTGATTTGCAGGGTTCCAATCGGGAGGAGTTTGCGATGACTGCCAACATAACACACAGGGGAAGAACTGTGAGCAGTGCAAAGCCATTCTTTTATCGAGATCCGCAACGCCCTATAACTGATCCATACGTTTGCCTTCCTTGCAACTGTGACAAGGCAGGATCGCAAGATGACGTATGTGTTTCGAAATTTCAACGTTGAAACTTTTTGTTATATTCAGAATAAATACAAGTAAAATATTTAGGGGATTTGTGAGGGTGAGGAAGATGCAGAGCGTGGTCTTGTTGCTGGCAAGTGTTACTGCAAGCCGAACGTAGATGGGCCACGGTGAGATTCACGTCTTACTTGTCTTTCATTCTGAAAATGAAATTGCTCTAGATGGGAACAAGTCATATTCTGCCATTTTCCAATTTGCTACTCAAAGTGATTGAAAACGCGTGTTGTTGGTTCCATTACAAAACTCGAAAGCCTGTAAAAGTTTCCAAATTCCATTTGGTAGCGGCCTTGTAGTATTGATTACTCTTAGGTTGAATCATAAGCAGTGTCCGGTTTTTTTCATAACTTTGTCATTCTTTCGAGAATATGTGTATGCTGTTTCGTGAATGTGATCATGGGGACCCCGACGATCTTTCATATTACGAAACGAAACCGTTCGTGTGCATTTTTTACGAGTACTAAATTTGTCTGTTTCGATGCTCACCACTACTGACTTTACGAATTCCTCCTGAGGGAAACCTGTGAATATAGTATAGCGATGAAGGAGTTAAAGGGGGAGATAAAAGGGCCTGATATGGGCTTTTGAAATTTCGGGAGAGCAACAGCCTATGAAGTACTCCTCAAATTGTTGACGATACCCGTCGTGTGCACATCTACCCTTCTTTTTGTTTAAAAATATGTACCAGTAGTTAATATTTTACCAATAACTTCATTTTTGCTTGTAATCCACAATATTTTTTTCGATAATGGACATTATGGAATATAGAGATGAAGGCAGAACTAGTCTCCTTTTGCGACAAAGGGCGCATGCACCCTTAGCTGTCGTCAGTATGTTAAAGTCACCTCATTTTCCATCTGGCGTATATTTCCAATGGCCTTCCAGAATGACATAATTTGCCCCTCTCACGCCATCAACTTTTGAATTGTATCAAAAGCTGATCTCACTCGCGGCTCAGCTTCATAACTGAAAACTATTTCGACCCTGATTTCTTGTTCTTCTTATTATTTTCATTAATTTGAGGTCGTCCAGTTGCAATTGTCTGTTTTCGTCAAAGGAAATATTTCGTTCTCAACAGATTTCTCCAACGTAGAAACATGTCTAGACTCAGAGTGATGAGGAGTTCTGAAGCTCGTTTTGTTACAGATGTGATCGATGTAAAAACGGGTTTTGGAATCTGCAAGCATCTAATCCTGACGGATGCACTGCGTGTTCTTGCCACCTTCTTGGAACGTATAACAATGAGGGATGCGATAAAATGACGGGTCACTGCACCTGCAAACGTCTTGTCATTGGAGAAAATTGCGACCAATGCTTGGTGAGTTCGATAAATTTTGTCGCATAGAGAATAAGGACATATTCTGGGCACGGTGGTCTTGGATTTCGAATCATCGCGGTGGCCTTTGCTATTCAATGAATGGTGATGTATTCTATAACTTGCTGAGTTAGCTTCCACGGAGTTACATGCTCGACTCCCTAATGTGGTCTATGCATCATTGTCCAGTAAATGTTCCTGGCAACATCCCAATTTGACACGTAACACTGCTATACTAATTTTGAGCTCCAATTCTTTATGTTAAAGCCCGAACACTATGGACTGTCCGAAGATGTGGATGGATGTAAAGCATGTGACTGCGACATCGGAGGATCACTGAACAATCATTGCGATCTCGTGACGGGACAGTGTCTTTGCAGAGAAGGATTCAGTGGAAGGAGGTAAATTCCTCGTATTCTTTGTCTTTTAGTGGAAAACATCCGTGTCCGAAAACTTTTCTAAAACTCGTCGTTAAGGTGTGACACTGCGGATTCGAGCTACTATTGTGCCAACATTGATCATTTCACCTACGATGCGGAGAATGCAGCGCTCACAAACGTGGGTTCCTTCTTGGTTTGAACTTTTCTTAGTTCTTCGGCTACCAACTAAGCGTTTACAGGCTGAGATTGAGGAGAGAGAAACTCCTCCAAGAGAGACTCCAATGACCTGGACTGGTCCAGGATTTGTGAGGGCTAACGAAAGAAGCGCGATCAGTTTCAGAGTGGGCAATCTTCAAGTCAGTCAGAAATACAACATAATACTGCGATACGATGCGGGCAGGGTGAGTTTGTTTTGTGTATTGCTCCTCATTTCATTGGATTTCCTTTCCGGTCTGTATTTGTTTTATGTTAATCCGACTAATTCTGTTAAGAAGAGCTCCTCAATTGCTTTTTTATTATTGTAGTCATTACCAGCACTTTAGGATCCAGTAGGATGGGAAAATGTTCAAATCACTGTAGTTCGCCCGACTGAGCCTGATGGAGAATGTAAATACAGTGATCCATCGGATGATTTCCTCATCGCTCGTCTCCATCCAGGTAGCTTATACGTTAATAGTTGATTTTCTGACAATGTCGGCTAGATTCGAGTCTCGCTCGAGGCGAACAGCTTTGTCCTTAACGCATGCTTGAGATAACTTTTGAATGCGAACTGCTATCAAAAACAGCAGTTGATAATCGAAAAAAAGGCAAAATTGAAGTCCATATTCTGTGAAGAGAGTTTCGTTTTCAGGTGGTCGTTATGTAGAAGTGCATCCTGCCGTATGTCTGGAAGCAAATGTGGAGTATGAAATACGCGTGCAATTTGGAGAAAAGCGCACCGGTGTGCAGGACCGGTGAGTGGAGTGGAGTGGCTAACCACAAGCAGTTCTAGGTATTACTCGGTGTTTCAGTGGCGCATCGGTGCTCATAGATTCGTTAGTGCTGGCACCACCAACGGACTCCTTGCTTATCTTCCAAGGATCCGATCGTGCGCTGCAGCACAAAACAGAATATGATCGTTACCAGTGCAGAAATCTTGTTCTTTCCCTCACTCCACATGAAATGTTAAGCGAGGTAAGGCCTATTCAATGTTTGCAATTTCATCATTGCTTGCACCGTGGATGAATTTTATTATTGTTTTATTATTTATTACTGTATTATTTATTTTATTCTGTGTGGATTATCTCATTTTACAGACTTGTGAGAGATACATTTGTCCTGTTGCTGCAGCAGTACTTAACCGCACCAGTTCATGCGACTGTGATCCCACTGGTTCCGTTTCCGGAATTTGTAGTGTTAAGGGAGGCCAGTGTGAATGTAAACCAAACGTCATAGGAAGAAGGTAAGGGTTGTCCCCACTGCAATTTTCTGTGAGCTAAGCATATATTTAAGGTGTAACCAGTGTGCCGTAGGTACATATGGCTTTGGAAGGTCAGGCTGTACAGAATGTGCTTGTGATTCTGTTGGATCACTTCATAATCGTTGTGACCAGCAGAGTGGACAGTGCGTGTGTCGAGAAAAAGGCATATATGGTCGACAGTGTAATCAGTGCCAGCCAGGATTCTGGAGCTTCCCGGATTGCAGGGTTAGTTGAACTAGAGAACTCTCCTCAAATCATTACGTTATGTTCGTTGATACATGTTTTCAATTTCCTTTATCATTTTACAGGTATGCCAATGCAATGACCATGCAAATATCTGTGACCAACAAACTGGTGCATGTATAGAGTGTCGTGACCTTACAGCTGGTCACTATTGCGACCGCTGCCAGGACGGATACTACGGAGATCCGCGGTAAAAAACATCTCGTCGTCAACTTTCATTTTCTCTACATTTTTATACTTTTAGACTTGGAGTAGGACTTCCTTGCAAGCCATGTCCATGCCCAGGCGGTCCAACCAGTGGCTTCCAACATGCAGATACATGTTATTTACAGCGAACAAATAACACCCAAGATGTGGTTTGCAATTGTCGGTTAGTGTTTTATCATATTTGGATTTGTTTGACTTGGCTCTGGATTTTCTTAGAAGAAAAACAGTAGAAAAACTTTTTTTCTGGAAACTGAAAATTTGTTTCAGATCTGGCTACACTGGAGAGCGTTGCGCTGAATGCGCGATGAACTATTGGGGAAATCCAACGGAAGTAGGCGGTTCATGTGAAAGATGTGATTGTAACGGCAACATTGACATGACAGTAGGTCCTTTTGTTCTACAATTCTGCGGAGAGCAAAACATCCCTGATCTTATTTATAGGTAGAAGGCAGTTGTGACTCGTCCACTGGTGAATGTCTGAAATGTCTGCATAACACTGAAGGTGCTATGTGTGAGAACTGTGTTGATGGATTCTACGGTGATGCCAAGCTTAAGAGCTGTCAAAGGTGAGTGTTTATAAGTTGGATGACTCTCGTAAGGTTTTAGTGTTCTTCCCATTAGTATACCTAATTCGAATTTGATCATTCACCCAAACACGCTGAACCCGTCAAGCTTCCGGAAGCCTTACGCTCTTTCTTCGGCTCATTGCAGTCCAGTGTCCTTTTTTGTTCAGATGTGTGTGCAACAATCTCGGTTCCAACACAACTGCTGGAACATGCGACCGAGTGACCGGACAGTGCCCTTGTTATCCAAATGTTATCGGAATGCAATGCGATCAATGCGCAGAGAACCACTATGACCTCAGCAGTGGCCAGGTCAGTACACAAATTCTAAATACGTTCTTTTCGTAGAAGCTACGACTACCTTTTTCTTCTTATAGGGATGTGCGGCATGTAACTGCGACCCTAACGGCGTTGCACTCGATGCGCATGGATCTCCTGAGCTTCAATGCAATCAGTTTGATGGAAGATGTCGTTGCAAAATTGGACGAGGAGGTATTTTTTCCACCCCTAATGAATTTTGGAGATACCTAACTGTTACTAAACTTACGCAATTACTAAAATCAGACCAAAACAACGTGGCTTTAAAAGAGGCTCGCTGCACGCGGTGCCTCTCTTAAAGCCAAGTTGTTTTGTTCTGGTTTTGGGGTCGCTTTTATTGATGCCATGTGATAGGAACTATTTGGAATTTGTTGTCCAGTGAATTTAGTAACAAATGGTTCCAGCCGCTCTGTGAGCTTCAAAGTTTTTCTCTCGCTCTAGAAATTGTTTCTGAAAAGACCTTGTTTCCTACATTGCCGTTCGAAATGGTCTTCAAGGGAAATTTCTGTCTAGGTCGAACCTGCTCTGAATGTGAGGATTACTTTTGGGGTGATCCAACAACAGCAGAGGGTTGCAAGAGATGTGAATGTAACCCCACCGGCTCTGCTAGCCAACAGTGTCACCGTAACAATGGTACATGTGTCTGCCTCCCTGGATCTGGAGGTAGGTGAAAGTCTTGTCGCTGCAAAAATATTTTGAATGTATGAGATTTTATGTATACGTATTAGGTGATCTCTGCGACCAGTGTGCACGAGGCTATACTGGAACGTGGCCTTTCTGTCAACCGTGTGGTGAATGCTTCCATCAGTGGGATTCCATCATACAAGATCTGAAGACACAAGTGGATAGGCTCATTGACACAGCGGCCAATATCGAGGATACTGGTGTTGCATCCGCTTATGATGAGGAGTTTGAAAAGATGGAGGCAACGTTGGAGGAGACGAAGAAAAAGCTCTCAGACGCCAACATCAGTAAGGAGCATATAGAACAACTAGAGAGCGAGGTTGCTAAACTCAAGAAAGAGGTTAGATTGCTGTTTCAGTTGTAAGGCGTTATTTGATGGTGCATTTCTTTCTTCTAGGTTGGTGCCGCTCGTGAAAAGTTGGATGGCATCGAAGCACGCGTTTCAAACGCGACGCAGGCCGTAGATTTTGCCCAAGAAGATCTCAAAAAACTGCAGTCAGATGCTGAGCGTCTCACTGAAGCCGCAGATGATCTACGGGAGAGGACCAACAAGATTAAGGAGGCCGATGTACAGGTGAGATAGTCTGAGGGTTGAAATTGAATGTGAAAGTATATGAGACTTTGAAAATATGAGGCTATATTTTTAGGGTGCATACAACATAACCAAAGAATCAGCGGCTCGCTCGCTGGGTGCTCAAAGGCGAACTGATGCAGCAATCGGTAAGCTAGCGGAAGCAGAAAGCGAAGCACGAGATGCAGAGGCTCTGCTTGAAAAGAATCGTGATGACTTTGATAAGCAGTACGCAGAAAACGAAGCTGCTCTAGCTGAGAGTGAGAAGAGGGTGAGTTTGGAGAAGACCGTTTATCGATACGTTTGCGTGAAATTTTCAAAATCGAACAAAGGGGGGGGGCAATTGTGTGAGTAGCGTGCCCATATACAGGGTGCGGCACATGCGGCGACACGGATGCGCATACAATTGAAACCACCATTCAAAGATGCTGTTTACTGCTGCGCTCATTTTGGTTTAGTTGTGTTGACCTGTTCATAATTATCTTGTTTGACCACCAATATGTATGATTGTTACGATGGCTGAATGATTCTGCCGCTATTTCTAGATCACTGAACTTCAACTTTGAGTGTTTGCGGCACGCAAGAAGGGGGGGGGAAATTATTTTCCGCGTTTTTGGTTTTTATCTGGGTACCACTCATGGTCATTAAACGACTTCTAGGAGGAGGAACGAGTGCGCTCTTGAATGGGAAGGCCGATGTTTCAAGAGGCACGAGCAATGTCAGATTGAGTGTCGCAACCCGAATTGTGGCTTCGGACATCGTTCCGTCGAATGTCACGAGAGATGGACATTAAAAGATTACTTGAGAATTCCTAAGCAATATGCCATCCTAGATTTGAAAACATTGTTGGATCTTTCATAAGGAAGGGATTTCCATAGGCAAGGGTGGTGCAGAACTGGTGCAGAGCCAATTTTGTCGAATTCATCACTTTCAACGAGTAGGTCAGCATTTCAGATTCAATATAAATGGGTTACACTGTGGAATTGATTCTGCAAGCTAAAGCTTGCATGGAACTTCACATTTTTGGGGATTATTTTGAAGAATTGCTTCAGAATACGTAGGACGGGTTCTACGCACCACCTTGCGTGCCACCGTCGATGGTTCCTCACTGCTTCTCAAGGCCCGTATAAGTGCCAACGAAGGAATTTCTTAGATTTGGTAGATGTTTACGATTCATTATTGAACAGTGAACGTTACTGTTATTTTGGCTTCTTGAAATCGTGGCATGTTCATTATAGGCAACTCGAAATCGCTGTCGCCGTTTTTGGCGACCTGTAATGGACAGATGACAATGTTTCCGTAATAGATAAGATGAGAAAGTTTTCGTTACAGACTGTGGCGCTATAGTATTGGCGTATTTTCGTGGGCACAGAATCTGTTCGGAATCTGAATGAATTAGGTATGTTTCTTTGTATCGCTATCGTGATTGCTTATATTCCGCTCGTAGGGGTTCAGTATCCCTTTGAGTGGTGGCATGGCGCGGATGTGAATGGGAGGATTTCGGGGTCGAGTTTTATTGGCCTTTAGCTTATATTTGTTGCATGATTTGGATCACAAGTTTCTTTCTCTTATTACGTAATCGCGTTAGGTTAAAATGGACGGGTTTGCTCTTGATCGAGAGCCGAGGGACATGGGTGCCCGAGCACTGTGCAGCAGGCAAAAAGTGCGATGTGGTATACCAAAGTTTACAATCCTGCAAGCTGTGCCAGGATGACCATCCCTATTTAGCTTGCAGTTTTCCGTCCATAAGATGCAAGATAAATCTGCATAGTTGATCGTGGTTCACTACAACCTGCAGTTGGAGTTCCCTAGTTATTTCAATACCATGTTTATGGCGCACCCTGATATTCTTTTCTGTGCCATATGTGATATAGTGTACCATTTAGTTACACATGTTGGAAGCTGCCCTACCAACTTTGAACGCGGAAGTGTGTGGAGCTGCGTCTGCGCCCTGTGATGCACTTTGTGGCGGTGAATTTTTTTAACGCGTAAACAAAGGGTTTTCTTTTTACTTTTCTCTTCGCTTTTAGCCTCACCCATTGCCGTTGGCTCGGTGTACTATAATTCCAAATTTTCAGGCCCCGGATCTTGCGGATTCTGTGGTGGTCAGTCGTGTTTGGAAGGAGCTGTTAGCAAAGCAGACCAAGCAAAAAGCTTTTCTCTTGAAGCTGATCTTAAATTAAATGAAAAGCAAAAAGAGGCGGAAGAGGTATTTTTGCTTTCGAATTTCGTAGTTTTGGTTATCGACGGCCCAAATATTTTAGGTGTTAACACTTGTCCGGGACGTGCTTCATTCGACAGCAGCCGCCAAGAAGGACGCCTTAGCCGCATTAGAAGTCGCACGAAATGCTGCCCAGCAAACGAACTCATCCCGTGCTGAATTGGATCAAATTGTTGACCAAATGAACACGTTTTTGAAAAGTTCAAGGTTGGTTCGTATTCAAGTCTATTGATATCAGTAATGTTTACGTGTGTGTTCTTTTCAGAAGTTCACCGGAGCAGATAAGAGCTCTAGCGGAGGAAGTGCTCGCGAAAAAGATCAGCCTCACCCCTGAGCAAGTGGCCGATTTGACCGCAAAGGTTCTGTTTAGCTTAATTTTGATAAATTTTGGTAATTATTCTGCGATTCTTTGAAGATCCGCGACTCTCTTACAAAAATCAGTAATATTGGTGCAATACTCGCAGAGACCCGTGGCAACAAGACACTGGCTACTAATCTTGAGGCTAAAGTGAGTTATTGTAAGGATCCGTAAAAAGTAGCGCACTATGTAATGAGTCGTATTCTATAGGCATTGGAAGCAAGCTCGCGAGCTGCCACCATTAAAAATACTACTGATACGGTGAGGGAAGCTATTCAAGTTGCCGAAGAAGCACAACTTGCTGCCACCGAAGCAATTCGATCTGCTGAGGAAGTAATGAAACTTGCAAGGTGAGGAACAGCCCAATTTTTGCTCATTTCGCAACCTTTCAAGCCATTACGACATCAAAAGCGCTTCCTTTTTAGCAGTTTAACTGGTTTTACTGAGGGCAACCAATCGTTTAGAGAACATCTTGATGCAGCGAAATCGGAAGCTGATGCTACGGAAGCTCGTGCTAAAGAGGTCAACACCAGCCTCTCCTCACTTGAAGGTGAAATGAAGAAGGTGAAGGTGCAATATCTTCAAATTGCCGACGATGCGAAAAATGCCTTCCATCTGGTTGACAAAGCTTTGGAAGCGGCGAAAACTGCTGAGCACGGAAACAAGCAAATGACGGTAGGTTGAGCTTTCCATTGCTTCCTAATCATCATGACTGAATCGAAAGTTTTCTAGACGGATATTGAGGAAGCTAAACGACTTTTGTCTGAAAGAACTCAAGGGAACGAAGCTCCACAAAAACGAGCCGAAGCGTTGCGACAGAGAGCTTCCAAGCTCCTCTACAAAGCACAGCGAAGTAGTGATGACATCAACGGTAAGTAATTTGATTGGATCTCGAATCGAATTCCACCTTTGCCTTACATCTCCCCGAGTGCAATATCAATTGGTGCCGTAAATTTCAAGGAAAATGAAATTTCTACGTCGTAATGCAGGACTTCTTGTTTTGAGGTCAATTAGTTAACTGCAAAATTCTGCGGAACGTTTCTGGGTTTTTTGAAAAATGAACTTCAAAAATGAATGTGGTCCTGTCTGGTTTTTACGAACAATTTAAATAAGCGATCGATCAATGTAATTTGCGTGGTGCAAAATATTTTTTGCTGTAATTCGAAATCGAATTGAATTGCCTGCAAAAATTCCCGTAGCTGAGAAGCTTGACGATCTTAGCCTACAGACCTATCACTCATTCAAATGCAGTTTTCATCGTAATAGAGAGAACAAAGGGTTGATCAACGCTTCAGCTTTGTTATACTTTACGGCTAAGGAGGTGCCGTTTTTAAAAATGATAGCAATAAGCAGTTACGCGTAGGTCATACCAGTATTTTCAGTGTTGACGAAGGATGCTTCGGATGTGCGGCTTGACGATTACCAAAGAACTTTGGATGAATTGAATTCCCGTCTGGAACAGGTCACTAAGGATATACACGCTAGTACAGAGTTTTTCGCAAATTGCGATGTATAAGCCATACTACTGCCTTCAGTCATATATTCTCGTTATACTGCCATTTTTGTTACGAGGCCCTTGTAGGGCTCTGCCTTTCCACGTCTTCCTTCTCAAGAAAAAGCTTTGTGTTGAATTTTGTTGTCGGATCATTTTATATTTTGAGAACTTTTCGACTTTGTTTTTAATATTGTCATACGACTTACGGTAAAGTTGTCGCATCACGTAAGTCGTTGGCTTTCGTTTTGATTTCTTTTCTCCTCTGTGGTTCTCTCATGCGTATGCTTTCCTATGCTCTGTAACATTTTACTTACGATCCTCTGATTCTCTCTCCCTAATTGGTGCTTTTCCAGACTTATTGACACTGACAGCTGTATGCTTTGATCTTTCCGATAGCGTTGCGAATGTAGTAGGCATCATTTCCAAGTGCAATTATGAATGAATTTGTATACTGTTAGTTTGTATATTCCATAGATGGTACGAAACCAGTCTCTCGAAGATGAAATATTGAAGGGCTCGCTATTTCTTAGGGTCAGTCGGGTGTCAGGTTGTGCTCAAGTCAGCAGAAGCTCGTCTTGCCTCGAGTTCTTCCAAATCTTTGAGTCAAGTTCGCGCTGAGATGAACTTGCTAGTCTCAAGAAGGACTATTTGGCGTTCCAATGCATCAATTGAGCATATAGCAGGAGAGGAAACTAACATCCCGCTTGGATGCTACGCATAAGTTGGCAGAACGGCTATTTGTTCATGGAGATATGATCAGACTACGGGCGAGGTTCTCTATTTTTGAAGTGTTCATTCTAGAGTAAGCAACAATTCATGCGGATTCCTTTCCTGGTGATCTTTACGAGAGGGATGCGTCTAATATCTCAACTTTTCTGTGAATTCTTTTGTATCTCTGATGGAATTTCATTTGTGACGCGTTGGTCTTTGAAACCGAAAAAAAAAAGGTTTTTTGGGGGAGGTTCACTTATGGTCTAGACGGCGCCTGAGGCAACGGAGAATTGAAGGTTGCCTTTCCCTCGTGTCGTATAAATGTTAAGGAGTACCAAGGAATGCTTCACTCCCATCTCTTGCCATTTCTGTGAGGTGCGAACAGGGAAGCTGTCTTGCAGCAAAGATAATGCGGCCAATCGTTTGGCCGGCTACGTATCGGGACGAGGCTTCAAGTAGCCTTTAACACATTGACGACCGCGCGCGTTTTGGCTTTTTTGGCCGTGTGGGACCGGGCCGATTTTGCGAGTGCGACCGCCGCACCTCGGATCCGTGAATTTTTATTGATAACTTTTTAAAGCACCAGTGGTACAAAAACATCTCAGTAACAGTCAATGCGTAGAAGGTAATAGAGTATATAGTGACGAAGTTCCGATTAAAGAACATGTAATGGTAATGAAAAAGGAAATTTTAGTCATTTTATCTGTAGTGGATGCCAAAAGCTCTTTTGATGTGGTTATACCAAGTGAAACATGTATTTTTCTGTCTCTTTAGATTTGCATTTACTTTCACTACCCTTTTTTATTGACGTGTTCATGAGAATAGCATGAAAACTATTAATGAACCAAGCCGCCGGTTTCGGTGAGCTTGGAAAACTTCTTCTAAACTGGAGCATATTTGAACAAACAATGACCTATGTCGTTCACAATAATGTTATGTTCTAATCCATAGAAGAGAGACAAACAATTCGGGAAAAAGCTGCGCATGCCCTAGAAAAAGGGATGATAAGGGTGAGACGCGGTAACGCGTCTCAATGTCCAACGAGGTGCGCAAAGTGAGACGCGTTACCGCGTCTCAATGTCGTCAATGTGTTAAAGTACGGACTGGTTGCGTTGTTCTGACCAGGACTCCATTGAAAACCCATGGGGATTATGATTCGGCTCGTTTACTTCGGAAGTACTACAACGCTGAAGAAACGAAAGTGACCACCTGCCTGCTCGGGACGAAATAACCAGAAAATTATGTCGAACTTTATTCAGATAAACGAAATTCTCATCAGACCACTCCTGGGGCAGAGTCAACCCTGCGTTGCGCAGTTCGCAACGGCACGTTGAGAGATCCTCAACGCACGCTGTATGGGCGGAGACGCAGACGGCTCGAGCATGCGAGTGTGAATGTTCGCGCGAGAGAACGTGTCTAATCGGGCGAAACTGCGCAACGTGGCCGTTGAGAACTGCGCAACGCAGGGTTGACTCTGCTTGGGGCCACCAGTTGATTAAGATTTTGTTTCTAGCGATTATCGGTAAAGTTTCCTAACTTTGTTGCAAGAAATCTTCCTATACCGAATGAAGGTAAATCGGCTTCGTCCCCCCGCCGGAATCGAAGAGAGCAAGCATTCTGAGTTTCGCAATGCGACGAAATTGTATTGAGGTTTTGTGGCGCAAAAATCAAGAGTCTTCCCTTGATCTTTGCGCCATGTAACATTTATTTTAGGTAGAATAAAAAATTGTGTCTACGCACTGTTGCACTGCATAGGAATGAATTCTATATTGCTTTTGACGGATTTTCAACCAAGGGTGGCGAAGAAAAGGTTTTAAGTGATCCTATGTCTATTGAGACTAATGAGGTAATCACCAATCATAACTGATAACGTGATTCAGATGGGCGTGATAAGCTGCTGCTCACGGCATTGCTGACCACAAACCGGTAAGAAGAAATTGGTATGTGAAACGCGGCACGGCGCTCTCTAACCATGTGGACAGGAGGATCCTACTGGCAGCGGCTGTTTGTTTATAGAAATTCGGCTCAAAGCGGATGGCAGCGCAGATACTGGTCTTGTTGTCACATGAAGCCCAGGCATGCAGGCATGGAACAGCCTACGGCAATCGTCGTAGGCTGTCCCATGACCGGGCTCTATGCCAATAATTTTGAACCACATAGTGGATTTGTAATAGAGAAATAAAAACCTTAGCTTTGAATTCTCTACGACTAACCCATCACTATTTCAGTCGATGCGGATTTCACGTTCCGTATTTTCGACCGTTCGTACTCTTCTGGCTGGACAGAAAGCAACGGCCTTTGTTGATACCGTAACTAGTCGTCTGGCAGCTCATCGCTCTGGAACTGCAGTGGGCGGAGAACGTCATGCGGCCTACTGGGATGGCATTTGTCGGGCCTGCTCAACTCACTCAACAAAAACGCAACGAAATTGAACAAATTCAAAGCTATGGCAGCTGGTTGGTTCTCGCATCGCTTTAATCCTATTCTCTTTTTCAAGAGTTGTGTTCAGAGTCATCAGATGCAGAGCTGCGAACAATGGCCGAAGAAGAGCGACAAGCCATCGAAGCATCTTTGGCTTCTGCAGAGCAAGATCTGGTGGACTCTATTGTACCTGTCACCGAGATAGACGTACTGCGGAAATGTCAAATTGAATTCACTAGGTTTGTCAATACCTTAAACCGTCGAAGAGTGTCGAGTAGTATTGCTCAAAAGGTTGTGCTACATTCGCGCGAACTCAGACCAAGAATCCGCTCCACCTGTTATTTTTGAGAATTCCGTTGTTTCCTGTGCGCAGGATCCATCATGAGAGGCGAACTTCGTATCAAACTGTATTACTATGCTAGTAAATGACAGTGGGGATCTGTAGTGCAACATCAATTGTGAGAAAAGTACGGTAAGAAACCGTCGACAAGGCTGCAAATAAAGTCCGCCTATTCACTATCGGCGAAGCGAAATAGCGCTGCTGTGTGGGTGGGGCCAATGCTGCATCCTAGACCTTATTACTTCGGCCTTGTCAAATCATCCCAACATTTGTATGCATGTCCCGCTTGCGTACTGCATTTTACTCAGGGAAGGGCTTAATTTTGACCAGAAATCTCGAACCTTGCCTTCAAAGTGTTCCTCTTATTTGAAGGATTCCACGATAAGAACGAAGATCAAAGAATGTTAAATTTATCTAGTGGAGAGACAGGCGGATCCTCTAAGGGTGCGGACCAACACGCAATTCGCATCGAAGGATATGCCCCCGGCGATCTGGCATGGCCTTCCCTTTGGCGCAGTTGGCCCGGAACGCCCACCGACATAGCAGAGAGAGCGTTAGCGTTGAAGAGGGCACGATAGAGTCGCATCAATGCGAAAATCAACGGGCAAGGAAGAGGTCCCACTTTCCGGGCTCCACTGTTTCACACGGTTTCTTTTCATCCGTACTTCCTTGACCACCGATGTATACCCTTATTTCCAACAATCTACCTTTTCATCGTTAAATCCGCGTTCAAAGCACTTCCACTCAATACTTCGAATTCTCCCTTTCTACCTATTTAGGGGCAAAGTGATTTGTGGTGGGCACACAAAAGGGAATAGGAAGTGTAAAGACGATGGTTGGTCGAGAGTTTTACAACAGATAGTACAGAATTATACTTATCGTCAGAAGCTTTACCTAAGTAAGTATTTGGAGGGGAACCTCTTTTTCCGACCTAGTTCAGGTAAGGTACGTTTCAAAAAATAGGAACACTATTACTTCAAGTTACCGCTGCCCAATTGTCACAAATGTTGGCGAAGATGTTTTCATTTGCTTCCCGAATTGCCGACACTGGAACTTACTCGGAGTGGAAAATTCTTTCGGCCTCCTCAGCTTCTCTCTTGGCCCTCCACGATTAGCCCTGTACACACTTCCGACTTGTGGAGGGACCTTTACTACCAACCAGAGGCGATC